CGGGCTGATCTGGGCCGTCGGTTCCCGTGGACCGACGGTGGACCACCCCGTGGTCCCGGTCCACGGTGGACCACTCCCTTGCCCGCTGTCGTGTGGGGCCCGCCTGTCGGCGCCGCTGCCCTTTGATGATGCCAGCAGGAGCCTTTTCCTTTGATAAAATAAATAATAATTGCGCAATAATTCATGAATAATTGTAGAAATTCATTTAAATGGCTCAAAACTTCTAAAATTCATATCTAATTCATTCGAACTCCGAATTGAGCCATTCAACTTGCAAAATTCATCTAAAATTGAGCTCTACATGTTTGTTTACTTTTTATGTACTGTTTCCTTCATTTTTATTAGAGTTTTTCCTCGTTTTGCGTGCCAGCGTGTAGTTCCCGTCGTTTCGGAAGATCGCGTTCGCAAGGATAAGAGTTCAGAAGATCCAAGTGAAGAAGCAAGGCAAGTCACACATTCCCCTTGAGCATGTTGATCCCAATTTATAAATGTTTTACCGTTTACAAATAAATATGCATGTTTTGCTAATTACATGGGATCCGGGTATTACCTATCTGCTCGCTTGTGCCATGTTTACTTGATATCTGTTCTTTGTCAACCTTGGGTAATGAATCGACTAGCTCATGTTACTTATGTGACCTAGCTAGAACTATATGCTTAGCCATGCTTAATTACCACTAGCTCAGTTGATGGGATAATTACAATATTAGACCTTTTTAATATCAGAATGAGCTGCGTGCTCAAGACACCTGGCCATGCTTCATGGTCGTAATTATCCAACTAAAATGCGACTGAATGGTGGGCTGTGGGTGCATGGTTTTGCTGGTCGCACCCATGGCAGTTAAGGACCGGTTCGCGGGATGCCCTGGAAGAACTTATCGTACTTACCACAAGCCAGCGTGGGCAACGGCTGGGCTTGTAGTGTAGCTTTCCTCTAGCTGACGCATCCAGGCGAGGGTGGGCGTGATGGAGCGGGGCGGGCCCTGCGACGGCCTCTGTCGCTTCCGGATTCACCTAGGCATGAGAGGGGACTGCCCGTTGCCCGCTGGGGACGGGGGTGAAACCTGAGGTGTGGTGTGCTTGGCTAGAGGGGGTTATGCGAAGGGTCCTGTCACGGCCTCTTTCCGGTATGTCGTGGTGGCATGTCGGCGCACGGAAACGTGTCGTGGGGCTGTGTCTTGTGGGTACAGTTGTACACCTCTGATCAGAGTAAAGTTATTCGAATAGCCGTGCCCGCGGTTATGGGCGGTCGACCAGATTCACCGTGATTAGTCCCATCTTAATAAATCGACCCAATACACTGTAGTTCAGGTGGGTTGGTTGGGCCTGTTCAACGTGGTGTAGCGTTGATCAGTGGAGGTTTAATGTTACTCTAATTACTCAACAGCTTTACTGTTTTGCTCAATAAAATGTTTTACAACCGCCTTTATGCAAATAGCCACAAACCATCCTTGAATCCCTTTGCACGTCTGCATCATTGGTGTGGCTTGCTGAGTACGGTGGTTGTACTCAGCCTTGCTATTATTCCCCCTTTTCAGAAGTGTAGTGCTTCTGAGCTGAAGATGGAGTTAGAGGACCAAGGCTCAGACCCCAGTTGAGTTTTGCCTGTGGAGTGGAGCTGAAGCCCCGCTAGGATCGCCTTTTTCCGCTGCTGTCGTTCTGTTTCGGTGTGAGGACTAAATGCCTCTTCCGTAAGTATTTTACGCTTTATTTACGTTTGGAACTGTATATTGCTTGTCGTTTTGTGTACCTTGGCTGGTCCTGGACAGGGATTTAATACGCAAAATAGTCTGGAAATTTGGGTTAAATTTCTGGGCGTGACAGTTGGTGAACAAAATTTCAAAGCTTGCTCTACCTCCTTGTTTTAATATATGATATTTAAGACAAGTTAATTAGGAAACCAGCTTAGTTAAACGTTCTATACTAAAATATGGCGATGGTATCTAATAAGGACAAAGATGAAATAAATTGGGATAACTTAGTTGCTTACTTAATTGTTCGTGTCAACTACATCCAAGACCGTGTAATAAAAAAACCCTCGCACCCAGCAAAAAAAAAAAGAAGTCCTCTTATAAAAACTGCTAGTTGATCTAACTTCGAAAACGCTGGGAAGTTTTAGGTCACGATTCACAAAAAAAAATAGAGAAGTCTTCCCACCGTAATCAATTAAAAGTCAGTTGATGTGCCATGTAACAGGATTACAACCACCAAAAAAAGTAAGAAAAAAAAAGATCCCACCAATTATTTACAAGAAAGATCACGTCACATCCAAAACGCAAAAAAGAAAAAAAATATACTCCATGACCAATTGACCATAGATGCAGCACTCCCAATTTTCCACGCCATTGAATTATCAAATAAATGGATTTCTGGGCACCAATGCAAATGCTGTCGACGCCAAGATTTGATTCTTTAATCCATCGAACATTATTCATTGTTCTCTCAATAAGTTCTTTTTTTAAAAAACCAAATCTTATTGCAAACTCGATACGGCCATCGCTTTGCCCAACAAACTGAACCTGAATCAATAGCATGCGAGTTTCATTGAACACGGCCATATTTTTAAATTCTTAGCACAGAGATTTAGCAAAGACTTTCACTCGGTCCGTAACTTTAAATATTCTTAGCACAAGATCTAGGCTTAGTTCAAATCAGAGGTTTGGATTAGCTTTTCAATGACACGTGAAACGAGATAACCCATCAACAGATGATTTAATTGAATATTAATTATTACAAACTTTAAAAACAAACTTTCATATAAAATAAGAAAAAAGAAGAGTTCTCTCGTTCTCTGTGCGCATACTTAGAGCAAGGTTAATAGTGCAGCCGGCTAATGACGGTAAAAATGACCACGTCAGCTTCTTATAGCTAGTGCCAAAAGTTAATGTATATAATAAGCAGGTTTACACCGACTGCTGTCTATTTTTTTTAATCTTAAGCTTACTCCATCTAATTCATCTTCTTGCTTGTTGCGTTACTGTACCTATTTTCCCACCTCCTGCTTGAATGGGTTGCTGCCAGGCAACCTAGCGAGGATGTGTTTTCACAAGCTACGAGCATGACACAGATAGATGCCAGTTGCTAGCGGATTGACGCCAGCGGAGCCGGAGAAGCCGGCGGATGAGTGGAGCAAGGGTGAAGTAGGATGACAGGCAGCTGCACGGGAAACGCTGAACCGCCGTCATTCCAGTCATCGTTCGAGCTCGCAACTTCTCTCTCCGTCGCCACAACCCTCGAGCTAGCTGCTTCCGTCGCCGCCAACGGCACCGTCATGTCACCTCGCAGCTTTCGTCACCACCAACACAGCCATCGTCGTCCTCGAGCTCAGCTTCCATCTCGCCATCAACGAGCTCTCTGCTATAGTTCTTGTTGCCTCATCGGCGAGCTTTCCGCTCCGTCATCGTCAAGCACTTCGCACTCAAGCTCACCACGGTGGTCGCCGTTGCGCTGCCTCTGCATTCTCGGCCGGTTGCCGTTGCTTCATCTTGCCATTTTCGCTTCGCCTCAACTCGCGTGGACCCACAACTGCGTGGCCCAATCATAGCTAACCTGGTGTTGCTGCACTGCATTAGAGCGCGTGTGTAGTCGGCGATAATTTAGTCGCCGGCTCACGCTCTCTCTCCTGCCCAGCTCATCAACAAATCTGACGTGGCCGTTTTATCACCGGCTAAAACAGCCTATTATACTTGCTCTTAGGGCAAGTTTTATAATAGAGGTGAGTGCTACATCTAATTTAAACCATGTCATCTTTTTATTAATTATTAAGAGGTAACAAGTACAACATGTCACCTCTAGTACACAAACCCCAATATTAGTTTACTCTTATATCATCTTATATTTTTCTTAGAGATTGTGTGGAGGTTGCCCCTTGCATAAGGGGTGTCTCATTCTCTCTCTCCTAACTTCTCTCCTCCAATTCATCACCTAATCCTATGTGGCAAATTTAGAGGCAACATGTAGGGGCTTATAGTACTTGCCCTTATCGAATGATGTATTTTTTTAAAAAGTACTATAGAAAAAATGTTTTAAAATTATATTAATTTAGTTTTTAAGTTTAAAATAATTAATACTTAATTAATTATATACTAATGACTTACTCCCTCCGTTCCAAAATATAACAATCTTTAGCCCTCAAGATTTGTCCTAAAATATAACAACTTCCCTATCAACATTATCTTCCCAACCAATCACAACTCTCCTACATTTACTTTTCCCACTTACCTCTACTACTCAACCAATCACAACCCTGCACCATTTATTTATATCTACTTTCTTAATAACACACGTAGTAGTATCTTCTTAATCTTTTCATTTTTGTCCTCTTGACAAACACTCCGTTAGGCCAGACTTTTCCGTTCAATAACAGATTCAGCGACGACAATTCACCGAAGGAGGAATGAACCTGCCCTCGTAGGTGGCCAAGTGCCGCAGTGCGGCCGCTATCCATCTGTTGCACCTGCGGCATGGCGTCACCTAACCCACTCTCTGTCAGGGTCAACTCCTGGATATGAATAGGAGTGACGAAGAAAAAAATATCGGAAGAATGGTATCCGCCCACGAGGGTGAGGGTGTGAGGCCGTGACGCTCACCAAGCAACAATGGACGTCGACCACCCACCGCGCGCAGCCTCGGAGTCGTCCACCGTGCGCCACCAAGGGTGTCGACATGATGAGCCACGCGCCGGCGCGTGGGGGCCCCACGCCATCCCCCCTCCTCCCGTCCGACCGCGTCCCAACCCATCCCCCGCCGCTGGATCGCCGAACCGACGGCCCCGATTCGCCGCCAGATCCACCCTCGCGGGCCCCACGCGCGACGCCCGCGGCTCACTGACATGCCGGACGTCGCTTTGGCCTCAAGATTCCCCCCCACGGCTCGCCAACCTTGGGGTTGCACGCTTTCACTTGATCCGCCACGGCCACCAACCGCGGGCCCACCCGTCAGTGACGGTGGGTAGAGGGATAACCACCGCGACCACTACACCACCACCTCTTCGTTGTCCTAGTCATCGGACGCCGCCCACCTACCCGACTACCCGAGGCAGCCTCTCTCTCCTCCCTCGCCCACCACCACACGACACGAGACGAGAAGACTGATTCATTCGCTCGCGTACACGCCTAGGCGCTCCGAGAATTCGTGAGGGAATCCCGCATCGCCGGAGCCGATCGGCGGCGCCGCGGGCGGGTGGGGGGGGGGGGTTAGGGTTAGGGTTTTGGGGGTGGCCCACCGGGGATGGACGCCCCCGGCGGCGGCGGCGGCGGCGGCGGCGGCGGAGGTGGGGTGGATGCCGGCGAGCCCGTCTGGGACTGGGGGAACCTCCTCGACTTCGCCGTCCATGACGACGACTCGCTGGTCCTCCCGTGGGGGGACGATTCGATTGGGATCGAGGCCGATCCCGCCGAGGCGGCGCTGCTCCCCCCTGCCCCGTCGCCGCAGCCGGCGGAGGCGGAGGCGGAGGCCGCGGGGCCGGCGTCGCTGCCGTCGTCTATGCAGGCGGAGGGAAGCAAGCGGCGCGTGAGGAAGCGCGACCCGCGGCTGGTTTGCCCGAACTACCTCGCCGGGAGGGTGCCGTGCGCGTGCCCCGAGATTGACGAGATGGCGGCCGCCTTGGAGGTCGAGGACGTGGCCACAGAGTTGCTGGCAGGGGCGCGGAAGAAGCCGAAGGGTGCCGGCCGTGGTAGTGGTGCGGCAGTCGGCGGAAGTGGTGGAGGGGCTAGCCGTGGGACACCGGCCGAGATGAAGTGCCAGGTGCCTGGTTGTGAGGCGGACATACGTGAGCTGAAGGGATACCACCGCCGGCACAGGGTGTGTTTGCGCTGCGCGCACGCCGCCGCTGTCATGCTTGATGGTGTCCAGAAGCGCTATTGCCAGCAGTGTGGCAAGTAAGGCTCCATTTCCTCATTCCAGGCTGCTTTATGAACTTGTGGAAGATCCATTGGGATCAGTAGCAGTAGGAGGGATAATTAAGTGCTTTAACACTTATACAATCATTGTTGCTATATGATTTGGTGTTTAATGCATTATACCTTTTCTAGAATATAGTGGCTGTTGGATATGATATTTGGTCATTTCATAGAAAAAAAAACATTTACACACTCGAGAGTCTAAGTGGAGTGTTTGCTCAAATTATGCATGACGATTCATTTAATTAATTTATTCTGAGAATGGTTCTTTAGGATTGGACTGTTCTCAACATGTCTTTGTAGCAATGGTATCTGATCGTCCGATTAACCGCGATCAATCATCCTGACCGGTCCTCTGACTTCTGATCAGGGACATTAACTCAATCAGCTCAATCAGAATCTGATGATAAATCAGCGATTCATCATCCGATTATGCTAGGTAACAATTAATTTCAGTAGGAGTTTTGGGCTGCATGCGAAGTTGGGCCTCAGCAGTATTGTGCCGGCCCATTCCCATAGGGTTTACCGGTTTAGTCCCCTAGAAGCTGTCACAAATAAAAACTAACAAGTAAGCAACCATCTAACCATCAAATATTTCCTTTATGATTGCTTATACTATGCACTATATATACATTATCGATTAGCCTCGATTAATTGGCCTGATTGACCTGATCGGTGCCTTGGCGATCAGGGTCGATCAGACGATCAGATAACATTGCTTTGTAGTTTTAACTATATTGAAATCTACCAACTTTACATTTTCTTAGAATTTTTCGTTTCCTCTGCTAGGCTATATTATGTGGTGTACATAATTTGCTGTATGACTGTATTAATATAGTTTTGTTCAATTGAGAAGATGGGTTTTCTATTTTGTACTTTTTCTTGAGGTACCAATTACGGGTTGCTTAACTGGTTTTTTTCTGGGGGGTGGGGGGTCAAAATATTCAGGTGGAGCCTTATGATTGGTTGGAGCTAACATATAAATTTACACTAGTTCCATTTCCATGCAGAATCAGTTTGTTACTGATGGATGGTCGCTAAACTTTCTAAAAATTGCATGCCAAGCTCATTTGCAATAAAGCTAAGTCTTTTATTTCCAAATCAAATTCATATTTAAAGTTTGATTAATCTCATAAACTAAGGAACATCCTGCTTTAATGCATAAATTTTCTTGTATGTTTTTGACATGACGTAAGGTCACTGATCAAACAAACTGCAAGCATGGAAGTACCTCTGTCCTTGTGCATCTGTCCACAACCTGTTGGCCACTTGATATATTTTTGAAACATTACTTTAGCAATTGTTCAAAATTCTTTGCCTAGCTCGAGGTACTAACCTAAACCTCTTTGCTGTTGACTATGGTTGTGGCGATCTAACAGCTGTCCTGGGCTCCTGGCTGTATATATTGTTTTTCTACTAGCAGTTTAATTTTTGTGTGCTAACACTATTCTCTCTCTTAATATATTTCTGCTGCAGGTTTCATATATTACTAGATTTCGATGAAGATAAAAGGAGTTGTAGAAGGAAATTGGAGCGGCACAACAAAAGAAGACGAAGAAAACCTGATTCCAAAGGCATATTGGAGAAAGATATAGATGACCAGTTGGATTTTTCAGCAGATGGTAGTGGTGATGGTGAACTAAGAGAAGGTAGATATTTCAAAGAAAACCGCCTTTATTTTTTAATATGTTTGCTCTGTTATAAGTTTTTCTATTTGAAGTTGAACACAAAAGGTTTTAGTGATGTATTTAGACCAACTATGAGTGGTAAATTTGACTTGGCTGTTTCCAGAGCATTTTACGAAAGAGGTGCTCTGGATATTTTTTTTGCCTAGCAAATATGGCATTCATTGTTTTGATATAACTTCATTGGCAAGGTTTCATGGAATATTTGGGATCATGAGTTCTCTGTTTGTGATACCTACTCAACCGAGCAAACCCTTGATCTGATCCAGATACATAATTGACTCTTAACAAGATGAGCCTGTTTACTTCTGTTGTCTATGCATTTTCTCCAGACATGCTGGAAGTTCTCTGCTGTCTAGTCTGGAACATATTTGTTAACCAATCATTTCTTTAACAGAGAACATAGATGTCACTACCAGTGAGACGCTTGAGACTGTTCTGAGCAATAAGGTTTTGGACAGGGAAACACCTGTGGGTTCCGATGATGTGCTTAGTTCTCCAACATGTGCACAACCCAGTTTGCAAATCGACCAAAGTAAAAGCTTAGTGACTTTCGCTGCTTCTGTTGAAGCCTGCCTTGGCACTAAACAGGAAAACACCAAACTTACCAATTCTCCTGTGCATGACACAAAGAGTACTTACTCATCCTCGGTAAGCGCTTCTCCTTGTGTACATATTATTCTGTAATATATAATTATTTTCTGTTCTTGCTCTCTCTAAAGGTTATTAGTAATGTTGTATCATCCATTGTAGTGTCCCACAGGACGTGTATCATTCAAGTTGTACGATTGGAATCCTGCTGAATTTCCTCGACGCTTACGCCACCAAGTATATAACCAGGCTCTAAGTTTCTCAATAGCACGCTGTTTTCATGCCCAAAAGATTGTTCTGAACTCAATGCCATACGTAAAATATGCAGATATTTGAGTGGCTTTCTAGCATGCCTGTTGAACTGGAGGGCTATATTCGTCCTGGTTGTACAATTTTAACTGTATTTGTTGCAATGCCACAACATATGTGGGACAAGGTATGGATGCTTGTACTAAAATGCCAAATCATTACTTAGTCCAAAGGAGGACATTTTTTTGGATGCATCCAAATGAAGACCTACCAAATATTGGTCTTTCAATTCCATGTCCATGTTTTACAGTTCAAACAATTTTGAGCTGCTAATTTTTATACCACATCCAGTTCAAAATATATATCTCTATGGTATGCAAATGTATTTTTACCACTTATGAACAATTACATAGTTGTGGAGTGTAATGAGTGCCCACTTGTGGCATGTAAAGTGTAATTAGAATTTCCCACAAAGTGAACTGAATGGACTTGTTGTATGGAAGTCAATAATACTATTTTTTTTCTTTTACAAGATAGCATTTATATCTGCATTTCTTTACAGTTATCCGAAGACACAGGAAATCTTGTCAAAAGCTTGGTAAATGCTCCAAATAGTCTCCTGTTGGGTAAAGGGGCCTTCTTTATCCATGTCAATAATATGATATTTCAAGTATTGAAAGGTGTGTACCACATGTCCTGTTTTTCCATGACGTGATAACAACATAACCTTCTTGTTTATACATCATATATTTGTACTTAAGCTGCATTGTTCCTGCATAAGAGACACTATACAGTAGATTGATACCAATCATAGCCTCACTACTACAATTACTATCTGCAGTTTCAGTATCACTTGCAAAATCAATATTAGTTGCATACGCTAAATTCGATGCATAATTTTGAACTTGTATCATTTAATTGCTAGCTTATTATATCTTTTGTTTTTATGAGATAATTACCTTACCTGATTGAGAATATTAACTGCTGTACTTCAGATGGTGCAACATTGACCAGTACCAGATTAGAGGTACAGTCCCCGAGGATTCACTATGTTCATCCATCATGGTTTGAAGCAGGAAAGCCCATCGATCTTATTCTTTGTGGAAGTTCTCTTGATCAGCCTAAATTCAGGTATGACAGTTCCTTGTACCTTCTACCTGTTTCTGCTGGTTATTCTTCTGTCAGGATACATTATGTTCAGTTTAGCTATGGTGATATATTCATATCATTACCTGAGAGATACTATATCTCAACGCAGATCCTGTAGGAATAAGTCTTGGTCTTGGTCTTGTGGTGCTTTTTCTTGCTTTTTAGCTCTAGGACAGCATCTCTACTTTCAGTTTGGATGCTCTAGGACAGCTAGGACAGCAGTTTGTTGAGATGCTCTAGGACAGTTTGTTGGGATGCTCTAGGACAGCACCCACTTGCCCTAGCATGGCTGCTACAAGCAGCTATAAATATGTATCCAATCCTCTTTGGGAGGATATGGCTTTTGAGTTTGTGAATGAAGAAAACCAGAAAATTGCCCCACTCTGAGTGCCATCCTCTTCTCAATGAGAGTAACCATTGAAATTCGAACAGAACCTTGATGCCACCTTTCCATTGTCTATGAAATGGAGTTCAACCATTAAATTTTATTGCAAATATTTTATAGAAGCTAATATGAATAAAAAAGGTTGCCCATGGTGACAATAGTTTCTTACTATAGAGGGGGAGTAGTGAATTTTTGGAAAGGTGTTGATTCAGGAGGTGTTCTTTATTTGTCTATCTGTGCATGCTTGATTTTGATGTTTTTAACAATACAAGCAAGTGGGGAGGGGGAAAGGATGATTAAAACCATTCTTTAGATGCCCTTGGTTGCGTTGTAACTCTCTCAGTGATAGAATGCCCTTGGTTGCGTTGTAACTCTCTCAGTGATGGCTACAATCGTATTTTTGCCTATTCCCTCAGCTTGGAGAAATAACTAAATGAATATGAGTGCAATGTGATATCCAGTACGCAATTTATTTCATTTTTTGATCATGTTCCATGCACAAACTTGCTAGGCGTCAGTGGTTACTGCATGAAATAGAAGTAGTGGCTAACCAATGATAACATGAAACCGCATTAGTGGATCAGGAAGATTTTAGTATGGTCATACTCTGTGTGTTAACTTCTATTTTATGGATTGTATTTTGAGTAAAGTCCATCACTGGTCCCTACACTTGTACCGTTGTGTCATTCCGGTCCCTAAACTCGCAAATCGATCGTTCAGGTCCTCAAACTTGTTCGACTGTGTCATACCGGTCCCTAAACTTGTAGATCACTTGTTTAGGTCCTATCCAACTTGTTCAGTTGTGTCACCCCGGTCCCTAAACTTGGATTTGAATATCATCTTGGTCAAATAGGACGGTCTAAAGACTTTATATTTAAAAATAATTCATAACTTTTTCATGTGAACTCTAATGAAGACAAACTTTATATCAAACTTGTAGCCCTCGACGCGATCTACAACTTTGTAGTTGATTTCGTGATCTACAACTTTGTAGTTGATTTTTTTTTATTTTAAGTCACTTTTTGTCCCAAAATGTAATTTTAAAATTAAAATTTCAAAATCTATAAACATGCAACAATATTTTGGGACACTAAACAGTTTTAATTCAAAAAATTTTCAACTACAAAGTTGTAGGTCGCGTCGAGGGCTACAATTTTCATATAAAGTTTGTCTTCATTAGAGTTCACATGAAAAATTTATGAATTATTTTTTGATGTAAAGTTTTTAGACCGTCCTGTTTAGGGACCAGAGTGACACAAGTGAACAAGTTTGAGGACCGTGATCTGTAAGTTTACGGACCGGGATGACACAGTCGAACAAGTTTGAGGACCTGAACAGTCGATTTGTGAGTTTAGGGACCGTGATGACACAACGTTACAAGTTTAGGGACCGGTGATAGACTTTACTCTTGTATTTTTCCCATTTATAACTTAATTGCGCCATGACAGCCATGGTTCATGGGTATTTGTTTAAGTATCCAGAAATTGAATCCACACAGAGATCTCTCGCTTGTGTGGATTATGCTGCAGTTGCAACAATGGCTGTGGCTGCAGCTACAGTACAAGCAGCACAGATTATGCTGCAGTTGCGGCAATCTCTTCCCAACATCCCCATAGTCTATAACCTTATTCTTGTAGACAAGTTCTTTCTTAGCCGGCAGCTGTCTATGCTCTTGCTAGGTGTTTTGAATGCCTTACAGGTGTTTTGAGTACCTCTGAATATTTGTAATCATGGCAGGTCACTTGTGTCATTTGATGGACTGTACTTGAAGCATGATTGTCGCCGTATACTGTCACATGAGACCTTTGATTGTATTGGAAGTGGGGAACATATACTTGATTCTCAACATGAAATATTCCGGATAAATATTACCACATCAAAGCTGGATACTCATGGACCCGCATTTGTGGAAGTAAGTATCTGTTACCTTTGACTAAACCGGTAAAATTCTCTTTCAGGGTCTGCATATTAATTTACACCTTTTTTTTCTCTATTGACACCAATTTAGCTTGCACACAATTGGCTTCAATGCTTTCTATTGTCTAGGGCACGTAGTGATTAGTGTGCTTAAGTTTGTGTAATGCTCTGTACAGTATTGGTTCTTGGCCACTTCACAAAATTGATTGAGATCTTTTTAGGCAGCTTAAGTGTGAACCATCTGAAATAGTGTGTTATTTTAGTAGAATCTAGAATGAACAATCAATGCACATAAGCAATCATTTGCTCTGTGCACTGTAATGTAGAATGTGAACTTGCCAAATGTTCTGCAAACATATGATTTGTATGCAATTAGCCAAAAAAGGTGTTCGTGCAAAAAGGACAAAAAATATTTTCAAAATATGACCAAATAGTTGACAGACCACACTTATTTTTGAAATCAAGTTGTCACCCTTTGACATTTCTGTAGTTCTATATGATGACCGCAGTTCTATGATTTTATTTTGCAGGTGGAAAACATGTTTGGGCTATCAAATTTTGTTCCTATCCTTGTTGGTAGCAAGCATTTATGTTCTGAACTAGAGCAGATACATGATGCTCTGTGTGGTTCTTCGGACATAAGTTCTGATCCTTGTGAGCTTCGAGGACTTCGACAGACTGCAATGTTGGGATTCCTCATCGACATTGGATGGCTAATAAGGAAGCCATCCATAGATGAATTTCAAAACCTACTGAGTTTAGCAAATATCCAGAGATGGATATGCATGATGAAATTCCTGATACAGAACGATTTTATCAATGTTCTGGAAATAATAGTGAACTCGTTGGACAACATCATAGGGTCAGAGCTTCTTTCTAACTTGGAAAAGGGTAGACTGGAAAATCATGTAACAGAATTTCTTGGGTATGTAAGCGAAGCTCGAAACATTGTTGATAATAGACCTAAATATGACAAGCAGAGACAGGTTGATACAAGATGGGCAGGTGATTATGCTCCAAACCAGCCAAAGTTGGGCATTTCTGTGCCACTTGCTGAAGTAAGTGATCGTGTTACACGCTAATTATCAATGACAATGAAAGTGACACTATTCTTCATATTGCTCTCAGCCTTTTCTAATTGACATATATAAATTAATAGAACTAGAAAACCTAGCTTCATGCTCTAGTAAAAAAGTTGTCAGGATGATATTTGGCTTGAAACTGGCATTCCACACATGCAAGTCCGTGTACAAAATATGTATGTCTCTGAGTTTTTGTTTGCTAGAGTTATTAGTTATTATATGCCCTTTTTATTGTGAAGTTTCTTTTTCTACTGGTTCATATTTGGTAATGGACCTTGCAAAAAAAATCTGGTAAAGGAAAAAGCTATACTACAAATAAATAATTCGTTACATTTTTTTTACAAACCCTGATGTGGCACGCTATTATTGAATCTTGATTTTATAACTTCCAACTAATTAAATTGAAATATCGAGAACTTTGTTAGTAAGAATTTATTAGTATGTATAGCACTACTTTTCGCCATAATTTATTAGTATGTATCCACAATTCATCCGATCGTTAGCATCTCTCGTTTGATTCAAGATCTTAATCCTGATTACTTTTGAGTTCGGATTAGCTTTTTTTCACTGTTGATTGAATCCTGGGAGTTGTATGGGAGGGACCCTGGCTTTATGAAGTGTTAAAACGACATAACAACATTAGTGTTGCATTTACACTTTATTTGTTTTCTTTTTGTATCGCATACTTTTGTCTCCTTATGTCTGGCAGACTACTGAAGTGTTTGGAACCTTTCTGCAGAGTACTGGAACCAGTGGAGAACATGATTTGCACTCAACCAATGCAGCTTCTGGAGAGGAGGAAAATATGCCTCTAGTGACTAAAGCTCTCCCACACAGGCAATGCTGTCACCCTGAGACTAGTGCTAGATGGCTTAACGCTGCCTCCATTGGTGCTTTTCCAGGTGGTGCCATGAGAATGCGTCTTGCCACCACTGTGGTAATTGGTGCTGTGGTATGTTTTGCAGCTTGTGTTGTCCTTTTCCACCCACACAGAGTAGGGGTGCTTGCCGCGCCAGTAAAGAGGTACTTGTCTAGGAACTACTCATCATAGTTGAAGCTAGATTAGATTAACCTTCCTGTTGCTTTTCCCCTGTATCATATGCATGTACCTTTCTAATTTGAGGCTTAGCTTGTGCATCCGATGTTCAAATATTTGTAAGAGGACCCACAGGCATAAATGCAAATTTTTGCAGCTTTTTTTGGCAAAAAGTATGAGCATATAGTTGCCTGAAGACCTGAACTTCCAGGTACACACCAAATGTAATAGATGTAATGGTTCAAAGACAGTGATTGGAATTTTTCATGATCTACATACAACTATCCATTGTCTCTTACAATTAGACAACTGATAGCTGGACCCGATTATCTAGTCAAATCCATTGTCTAAAGTGCCTGACAAACATTGAGAGCCTTAAAAGGCTTTCACATTCTGCAGCAGTCAAGCTAATTAAGGCATATCGGATAGTATGTTGTTGTGCTGTACTATTTCCTTCTAAAGCAGTGAAGCAGTCTAGCTTGTAGTCTCTCGAGCTAATGCCTCTTCTTCAGTAGCTGACAAACATCAAACAGTCATGAGCGGCTTCAGATCTTCAGTGAGTAGTGGGAAAGCTCCCTTGTCAAATTTGAGTAGTGGCCATAACTCCCTTGTCAAATTAGGAGCATTTTTTTTAGGAATAATGATGCAAATAAATTAAGCCTGGTTGCAGCTAACCCAGACGAGACGATTAGGATAAGGGTTAGTGTGTGGTTGATGTATTGTCCTATAGCGTGCATATTTCGATCAGGATAGGGTTAGTTTGTGGTTGATGGATTGTCCTATTTTTGAAGTTAAAGTAGAAACGTAAATATGTTATGAGGAAAAATCTGTTATCATTATAGTTTGTTTTACAAATAGTTATCCAAATTTCATGTTGTCACAATGGTAGCATTATTTTGAAATGCAAAAAATTACAAAGGGATATTGGCGTAATCGGGATCATAGATATTCACCAACACGATCGATCGCCGCCCCCCCCCCTCCCCCACCCCCTTGCTTCATATGGTTTTCTTTTTTGTACCGCATTACTTTTTTATTTAGTAAATTTATGCACCTAAAGTTTATACACCTCAAGTTTACACATCTAAAGTTTAGAGACACAAAGTTTATGGCCTGTTCACTTTGATGCCATTTTCAACCTTACCAAATTTTGGTAAAGTTACCAAAAAAAGTGGTTACATTTAGTTTGCTGCCAAATTTTGGTAACTATATAAGAAATCCTGCCAAAATTTTGGCAAGCTGTTAAAATTTGGTAAGGTTTTTTTTTTCATCAAAGTGAACAGGCCCTATAAATCAAAAGTTTATATATCCAATTCAAATTTGAATTTGAATTCAAAAATTTTTTATATATAGTATTTCTATACACCTAAAGTTTATAGACGCAAAGTTTATATGTCAAAAGTTTACATGCTCATTTCAAATTTAAATTTGAATTCAAATATTAGTTTATAGACCCAAAATTTATAAGTCAAAAGTTTACCTACCCATTTTAAATTTGAATTTGAATTCAAATATTTTTTATATATAGTATTTTTATACATAATTTTTTTTCAACTTTGTTTTTTTTAAAAAAAAAATTTATGGTGTAGTAAAAAGAGAAGAAGGGGAGGAGGAAGGGGGAGAGGAGAAGCGTATAGGGGTGATCGCCCATTGGCCACGCCCTTGACACACCATGAAAATATGCACTTGAAACTCCTAGGGGTGCAACCGTAGGAGAAACCGATGTAAGATGATGCACACTGTTCGCGCTAGGAAATCACAACAACTTTGAAGTGCATATTAACGTTGCCGGCGGACGACAAACCTAATTATGGAGAACTTTACCTTACACATGATCACAAGAGACTTGCAACAAAAGGAAGCAGTTGGTGTAATCATACGCGACAACACAGCAGTCATCTATAGTACTCCAGTATTAGGTACAGCTGGTTGTCTAGGAGATTCTGTATACCAAAATGCAATTATAGGTTCCCGCAAAAGGAGATACAACCATAAATCGCTTCTTTTCACCAAAAAGAAATTAAAAAACACAAATCGTTCCATTGACTCAACCATCTTTATGTACAAACCATAACTCAGAGTTAATCTGAATAACACTTCAGTCACAGACAAGTGCTGATGTTGACCTACAATCTCCCTAATTATAAGGAGAATCAACGCTGGCAGGCAAAATTTATGCCAATTTTCCTTCGTTCTGTAAGGACTGAAATAGTAAAAGTAGGCACGTAGCAGCATGTTCACCAAACCGCACGGTTACCGCAGGGTATGGTAAAAAAAAACACAGTAACTCAAATAAATTTAAAAAATAATTTGAAATTTTAATAAATTTTATACGGTTTCGTACGGTTTGCCGCGGTAACCCTGGTCCTCACGGTTTGTGAAACCCTACGTAGCAGCCGTATTTCCTAACGGGTGAAAATTTTCAGGGCCAAACTGTTAGCTTGAACTTTTTTCAGGGCCAAACTGTTAGCTTGAACTTCACTCACTCCCAGGAATCAGAGAGGTATGTATGCAATGCTCCTCACATAGTCAAATGAATAATGTAATTTACAGTTTACAATGTTGTTTACATCTACATGGTTGCCGGGGGCGAAAGAGAAGCAGAAAAACCGTCGTGATTCCTTTTTTTCCTTCCATTCTACTTTCTAGATAGATTTCATTTTTGGTGTAGTCTGCTATTGACTTTGACTCGATTCATTTGGTACAGTAGGGGGGCTCCTCCTAAATGCGTGCTTTCTGCACCGTTGGAAAATGCCATCATACAGCAAATCAAACTGCACTCCGGCTCTTTCACGATTTACAATGAAAAGAATGTGATCAGCCTCAATTATCTTGTAATACCTGTAAAAAACAATGGAGCAATCATGTAAGAAAACATTTGTTTTTATGTTAAGAAGCAAAGAAAACATCTGTGACTCTCTGTTTGGTGCCTTAGTCAATCTTCAACTTGAATGTAGTACCAATTTTGCTTAGTATTTTGAGAAAATGAGTGCATGAAACAACATGTTTTATTTTAATGCTAAGTTAAAACAGTTGTTTCCAAAAGCAAATTAAAATAAGATTCTGAACGCAGCACTAACCATATCCCAGGCTGCAAAGGATGGCAATCAGAATCATCCACTACCAAACGGTTTGGATGCTCTGTAGGAATGCGAGGGTGCGTCATGGAGATTGTGTTCAAAGCCCCATCATTATCTTCCCAATCTTCATCCCTAAGAACCATCAACAAAACATACCAACAAGTAATAAGAACATGAACCAAATAATGAGCTGAAAGGTTGTACTCAAGGAAATAAGAACTGTAAGCAGTGTTGTCAGTTAATTTGGCTTGGAGCAGAGGATTCACCTGTATCCTTTGTAAGGTAGAGGTGCATTTTGAGGGTGCCTCCACATACACATTTGGAGGACTCGGAGGAAGAGCATGGGGTGAATTCCAAGGACGCTTGAAGGCACTGTAATTCCAAAAAGCTTTCTTGTTCTCTTCGTAGCATAACTGAAGTAGAATGTATTTGGGAAGGTCCTCAATGTAGAGTTAAGTGTTAGAGATCCTTGAATCGTAAGATCAGGCAGAATCCAATCTCCTGAGGCAAATGGGCCAGTGTGCCCCAGCAACAGATCAATTAGACCTGAGAGGCCCACTTTCCTCCATGACATCTCAAAGTGGTCAAAACCAAAATTGTAGTAATTCTTCAGCCAAGGAATGTCTAGCCAATCATAGACGATAACTCCAATCCGGCAGAGCTGAAGAAGACAGATTGATTTCATGGATCTTCCGTCTTCAGCCCTGAAAGTAGTAGGGAAATGAAACATGATGAAAATGTGAGGAGACACAAAAAGATGTAACCTTTTAAATCATTGTAAACTTCAGACAACACTTACAGCATGCCATCATAGTAAGTTCTAGTGGTTCCATTAAGCGCACCCGACAAGGAAGTAAGGCTAAGAACCCAGTCTTCAGAAGTATCATGTCCAGGGAAAGCCTGAAATAAGTATCAACACATGTTAAAGCTCTCATTTCCTGTAACGCAATAGCATGCCAACAATCTGCCGGCACAGCATGCAGCAAGCAAGGTCAGCATGCCACATGAATAAAGCCAAATAAAGCGGTATGCATTCGAACATACTCCAGGTGTTCAATTTAGTTGCAGAAGTGCTGTGGCAAACCACATTAAGTAAATGAAAAAAAAGGAAATTCAGAAAAGAATGTTGTCCATATTAAAAACAGATTTTCGGGCCATTTTATACAATCGATTTTAACAGATGTTCTAATTAACTAAAACTTCATGCAAAAGCAGTGATCCTAATTTGGGTACATTAGGCATGCACTCATCACAAGAACCGTTCCTTTCAAAGCACATGATAAGCGTGAGCATTATACCACCAAGAAACAAAAAGGCTCAGAATTCTTGTTTACCTTATCGGCAAGCATCTGATGCAGCACCCTCACAACCTGCACGCCGGCCGAGTGCCCGACAAAGTGCACCGGGTTTTGCTCGTCCCAGACCGGGTAATGTCCTGGGGAGCCCAATTGCAATCACAGTTAGCTAAGAGCAGGTACAATAGCAAGCTATTAGCCAGCATTAAACATATTTTAATGAGATAAAAGATAAGAGAGAAGAGCAGCAGGCTACAGATCTGTAGCCAGCTGCAGTACGGACTCCAAGACGCAATGTGTATATGATAGGTGGGACCATATATTAGTAGTATAGCAAGCAACTATTGTATAAATTGGCTATTAGATTGACTATAGATAAATTGGAGCTAATAGTAGGCTATACTATTAAACTTGCTCTAACAACACATATCAGAATTTCCACAATATCATAGCGATGATTTCAGTTCGTCGAAATCCTCTACTACCTGTGTCATACGTCCTCCCGAACCGCGTGTGCCCGAAAACCTTGCTGTGCTCCTCGCCATAATCCACCTGCCCTCCTTTGAGGTAGTAGAACAGCTCGCGCGCCCTGCACCGCCAAGAACCATCAGATTCCCCAACAATCAAACGCCAACCCAATAATACTAATCCAAAAGGATAATATTTTTTTCACGACTACCGAGAGATACCAAATCATAAGCAGAAAATTCAAGGTAGCTGGAGGAGGAAAATTAAAGAAATGGGCATCCACCAAATGGAAGTATTCTATGCCTGTATTGTGTTCGAAGAATTTTGCCACTTTTCCAACCCACCCACCTGTCATGGATGCTGGTGAGGGACCCCAAATCCGGCACGAGCACGCGGTCGTCCTTCTTCTCGGCGCCGGCGAAGTAGGAGAGCCCGCCGAGCCTCTGCACACGGGGAAACAAGGCATAGTAAGAACGACGAACGGCTCTGCGGCATTTCACCGAGCACCCAACCCACGAGAAAGCCACGGCGGGCATACGTACCCCTTTCCCGAAGCCGAAGATGCCGTGGACGAGGACGATGGGCGGAGGCGAGCCGTCGAGCACGACGGGCGCGGCGCCCCTCCGCTCCTCCTCCTCCCCGGCCGCGGCGACGTTGACGAGCCCCGGCGCCGCCGGGCGGCGCAGCAGCAGGCACCCCGAGGCCGCCGCCGCCTGCGAGATGTCCGCCGCGACGGCCGTGCTGAAGACGTAGAGCCCGAAGAGCAGGTGCACCGTCGCGCTGACGCCGAGCTCCAGCAGGCTCAGGATGAACCTCGCCATCCCCTCTCTCTTCTCTCTCTCTCTTCCCCGGCAACCAAACCAAACCAATCTATCTACACAACCACGCCGCCGACGCCGTCGCAACCGCTGCTGGCGCGCGACGGGTCAGGTCGCGCCGCCTCCGCCTCCTCTCCTATCCCTCTTCCTGGCGGCCTCACAAGAAGAGGAACAGGAGGAAGGAGGGGGGAGGGACGACGAACCGGTGGTGGCGCCTCCGGATTGGCGCGCGCGCGCGCGCGTCGTCGTCCTCCTCTTCTTTCCTCCCTCCCGTGCGCCGCCGTGTCCTCCTCTTTTTCTTCTTCCGTTGCGTCGTCGCTCGCTCGCTAACCGTCGTCCGTCGCGCTGTTCACCCCCGTTCTCCCTTCCCCCTCGCTAAGTTTGGTGGGGTCAGCCAGCAACAGCGCCGCGAACCCCTACAATTATCCGGGCTCGCTGCTATATTTATAAAACTCTCGCGGGGCGCCGTCGCGGCCTCGCGGGGGACGCGGGTGAGAGCGGTGAGCGCGGCCGTTTTTGCGTGGTGGATTTTGGATGGAGTCGGAGTTGGGTTGGGTTGGGTGGTGAATCGGACGCGGCGCGGCGTGCGGTGTTGGGGGGTGAAAATTTTGCAGGGGAGGGGAGACCGTGCCGTGCTGGGAGGGTATGGGCGTGACTGCGTGAGTGGTTGCGGCCTTGCCGGTTGGCGCGTCGGTTTTGCGGCGGCGCGGGCGTGGGAGTGGCGTACGCTTGGCAGGGGGGCAGGCTGGCGCAGCGGATTGGCTGGGGGCCAGCCGGCCAGGTCGGACTAGTACTTCCGAGTTCCGTGATTGGGTCATTGGCTCGTTGCAGGACTGGGCACTGGCCAATGGGACCTGGGGATTTTTTTTCCTTTGTGTGTATTCTTTTGCCAGATAATACGAGTAGTTCAAATGGTATTCAGTATATGCATGCTGCACGTAGCCACGCACACAACTGCGTACATATACCTGAGGCGTCTAGTATGATCCCGTCCACGGCTAAATCACGCCGCCTCGAGAATGTCAGGAACACCAAAGACTTCAGGGGCACATGTAAGCACGTCCGTACGCATTCTATGGAACAACAACTATATTCAAGTTACTTAGATTAACGGTGTGTTTAGTTCACGTTAAAATTGAAAGTTTAATTGAAATTGGAACGGTATGATGGAAAAGTTGAAAGTTTATGTGTATAAAAAATTTTTAATGTGATGGAAAAGTTGAAAGTTTAAAGAAAAAATTAGGAATTAAACCCGATCTAATTAATTCCAGAAGTTTCTTGTCAGCAAATAAGCAGCGGCTCCAAATCATTATTCTACCATCATCCGTCCATCTGTTTCGGGGTAGCTAGACCCCTTAACGATGTTAACGTGGCGTGGTGCAGCACAGTTTCTTGAGGACAGAAAAAGCAATTTCCCTTTCATACAGCAGACGCTTCTACCGTGCAGCCACACGCGCGTAGGCGACTAGGCGTACGTGTCTTTGTTCCTCTTGTGTGCCTTCTAGACGAAAAACCATTATTACTACACGAAAAACACAGTATAAAATCTCTCGTGGACTTATTAGCTGCGTGGCCGCACATTGAGATGTCAAATTAAGCCAAACAAACACGCTCCGTCACATCATTAATTTCCTACGGAAATTTGGTCCACGTATTACTGGTATTTCTCTTGTTCGTAGTTTTTTAAACTCTAGATTGGTGTAGCTTCTAGAAACATCCAAATTGGACCATCCGCTTTTGTCAATGGGCTCCCGGGCCCTATTAGGTTCCCAGTAGTGGATTCATGACCAATCTATTTTAAATTTTAAAAGTTTTAAAAGTACAATCTTTAAGCTAAATCTTTTCTGAGACTTTATGTTCATATATATCCTCATTGACCTGGAAACACAAAATTTGCGGTCTATCATATCAGCCCTGTTAAACAGTAGGGCACTTAGATTTGAAGCTCTGAAAATTTTGCTGCTATTAAAATCTAAGAAAGGGTTGGCACTACAATATTTGATATAGTAGATTATCTAACTTTATTATAGTGTAGACAAAAATTGACTTCAATCCAAATGTCAACGAGGCACCACTGGGGCTAACAATGTGGTAGATGACAACAATCTAAACTTATTGTAATGTTGTACTATCTCTATTTTTTAATATTTTTAATAGATTTCTTTGTTGATTTTTTATATAACGTTTGATTGTTTCTGTCATTCTTAAAGATTTTTATGATGGTTAAACAAGTTTTCAAATATAAAATGACACTTATATAATACTTTATCTATCTACGACACATTAATTTTAGTACTATAAATTTAGACGGATGGAGTATTTTCTTGAAAATAACGGATAGTTAAACGTTATATAAAAATCAACGATGCCATCTTAAGAAAGAGAGTGCTAAGTATTTAATCATGCCACCCGGGTGTTAATCATAGTAGTATAAGTGGTTGATGGTAAAATTAATCTTCTCTGTGAAGAGAAGGTAAAATTTTCCAAGCTTTGGTCGATGTCAGCGGACAGTGACAACACAGATCTCTGTATCCGGTCTCTCTCACCATTGTTGCTGGGAAGGGGGTATTTGCCAAGACGCCATGCGCGGGTGCCACCGTACGAGAAGGCTCCCGGCATATCACTTCCTGCTCGATCGTAATTAATAACCTGTGTACAAAAATAATCAGCTGGGGCCTTCGCAAACACTAGCCGCCCAAACAGTCCATATACTCACACACCACGGTTCAAACATCTGAGCGTCGATCAATTATAATCCGAACTTAATTGAGAAAGTGTCCGGCGCGCGAACCGTCAATTCACGCATGAATCCAGACCACCATCGCGTTGCAGGGCGGCTAATATAAACGATCACGCAGTCCTCATAGTTCAGTCCATCTCCGGAAAATTTAATCTCTATTCATAAATTTACATGTATTTGTTCAGATTTATTCTTAAAACTGGTAATTCTTTTTGGGACAGATAGTTGACGTGCTTGCTGAGTTGCTGTTGCGACATGGAAGGCGTAGAACACAAGCCTACAGTTCGATAAATCCTTTATAACCTGTCGCGAGCAGGGTTTACGATTCCGACGAAATCCGGTCGGATTTCACGAAATTTCGACGTTTCGACGGGGCTCGAAAGTAGAAACCGTTTGATATCTCGAGAAGTTTCATCCAAATTCAAATTTGAATTGATAAAAAAAGAAAAAATCTTATAAATATTATGATATTCATATAACCTATTAGGACATAAATTTTCAAAAAAAAATATATTGTGTGTATTTACTGAAACTTACATCCGGAAAGAAAAGAATTTCAGCAAATTACCTCTATTACAAATTACTGATCGAAATTTCGATGATTTAGATCGGAATTTCGCCAAAACCGACCGGTTTTCAATGTATTCAAATTTTGGTTTATAAAATTTATTTGAAATTTACCGGTTTTCCACTGGATTTCACGAAATTCTGAATTTCGCCGGTGTCCGAAACGGAAGGGCCTCTCGGAATCTCGGAATCGTAAACCCTCGCGAGCGTTAGTGAACAAGTCATAGTACTAGTTTGCTCTTGTTTTGACCGAGACCACGTTGATTTGCATTGGCCATGCCAAACTCTCACTTTCCTCCCGCTCCTGATTCCTCTCGTTTTCCTCGACGCGCCCAGGCGCACAGCACCTGTCTCCGCTGGTTAATCCAAGTTTTTTTTTTCTAAGGAAAAAACAGTTGCTTTCTTGTCCGGTTGGCCCGTTTTGCTCGCCGAGACGCATTGGCCATTGATAACATCTGTGTTAGTGCACCTGTATTGACTGGCTGCCTTTTAATTTGCTGCTCGAGTGGTTCTTTCAGTGTTGGCCTTGAGATCTTTCCGGTCTTTCTTGGCAGACAGGCTCGATACTCTATTGACAATTTCCACACATGATTGATACTGCTAGCTTGAATATCCTAGCATTGAAAGCGAGGCAGAAAGAAGTCAATGTCAAACCAGGGGAACCAAGTCAGGATTGGTTCACCACCCAACCCACAGTAGCGAAAGGCGCAGCAGCTTAATTGACAATTTGAGATGGAGCAAATTAAGCCCCAACCTCCAACGACGACCATACTCATGAGAAAAATCTCCTCCCTGCTCATGTGCATGTATAGAATCCTGTTGCTCAATTCCTTAACTTCTTTATTTAATTTGCTCGGAGATATTGTGGATTCGTGGTGCTAAGATTTTGCACACCTCAAAAACCAAAAAAGAGAAGCCAGTTGTATATTGTAGGTGCAGACGTGCAGCCATCTTCCTTTTTATTAAAAAAAGGTCCTGTTACTTAATTTCCCAAAGTAGTCTGATGATGATCAGGGTGCCTGCCTATGATTGTTGGGGATCAACCGAGATTGTCGCAACGACACTATCTACTCGTGCGCTTAGCCACTTAGCTCTATTTGTTAATTAAGGGTTCACATCCCCTGCCTTTGAGGCCAAAGGCAAAGTTTGCCGTTGCTGCCATCCAGCCCATCCATTTCCTATTCAACGGTTGCATGTTTTTTTCCCTCAATTTAAGGATGATTAACAGCCAATTAATTGATAAAATCAATTATGCTGGACCACTTTAAAAGATAATTAATTGATTAATATTGCTAAAAAGAAATCTACATTTACTCAAACCATGTCAAATCAACATTTATAGAAGATGCAAACTTTTTTCCCCTGTAGCCTTTTCTAAGGATTAGCTGTCTATTACTTTTATTTTTACAAATCAACAAAATAAAGTCTTGTACAATGATATTGTTTCCTTGAATGAACGGATACCAAATGGTTTCAAAATATAGTTTTTATCTTTTTTTTCTTGATATTCTTTTTGGAGAGTAAATTCTATCACTAAATAGCAGGTACTAGTTAGTCATGAAAGGGGTCTAAACCATGTAATGGTTGATCGCAGAATGAAGGGTGTGGATGGCTGTAACGGCAAACTTTGCCTTTGGACTCAAAGGCAGATGATGAGAACCCGTTAACAAAGTGGCATACGTTAAACGTTGTTTATGCTATGCACAAATTGCCGGTTGCTACTCAGGCTACTTCAATTTGTCATTTTCGTATGCAATTGAAAACGATGTGAAGTCAAATGGGGATGTTGCAAACTTGTATTACAGGCTTTTAGTGTAGAGGGGATACTGCTTAATTGCGTAAACAGCTGTTTGGATTGACGCATTCGACATTAGAGGTGTTTGCCAATAGCTAGCTAGGACATTTATTAGCAGTAAAAATAATTATGGGAAAAACTAAACACCTTAAAAGGCAATGCTAGAAAATAAACTACAATAAAAAAATTCAAAATTAACACTAAAACTAATATTTGAAATTGAAAATTTGGCTTTGGTTGATAAGCCCAAAAGCAAACGATGATGAAGCTGTTATGTGCACTAGCTAGGACCCGTATAAACTATAAGTTCGTAATAAATAGTGTACCATAAATTACAATAAATGGTGTCAAATTGTTCAATGTGCATTAGATGTAATCATAAGTTCGCAACA